TTAACATTGAGAATTACAGTAATTGTGATGTTAAGTCCTCATCCAGTTTCTCTCACCTCCAGTGGGTGGAAAACACGGATGCAAACTGAGTATTTAGGGGGTTTTCTTCTTAATGATAAGAGGTCCAACATTATCACCAGTTTCCTCATTGTGTTTGGTGTGCGCGCCGTCACAGTAGGGAAACTGTCCAGGGAATAAACAAATACATACAGTTCACAACCACACATAATGATCTTTCAGATAGTATGATGACGTATCTGCACGCTGCCTGGGGTTTTAATGTTTAGTCCAACACTTTGCATTAGTACAGGGGTCACCAAACTCTTTCCTGGAGGGCCGGTGTCCTGGAGTTTAGCTCAACTTGCCTCAACACACCTGCCTGGAAGTTTCAAGTATATCAAGTGAGACCTTGATTAGCTGGTTCAGGGTTGGAGCTAAACTCTGCAAGACACTGGCCCTCCAGGACCGAGTTTGGTGACCCCTGCATTCTCAGTGAGAAACTGAGCAAACGAATGCAGTTTTGGTTATTTATATGGCCAAAACGTAAGATGAAATAGTGTTATGTAAATCAATTACTATTTTTTTTAAATAAAAGACTACTTATAAATATCAGCTGTCACTCCCAATAATATGTCTTAGTAAGACATTATTTAAATGCTTAATTTTATGATCAATATTGTGGGGCAAAACATGTAGTGCAATGCAATCCCATGACGACTGTAAGACGAACAAATAACATTCCTCAAAAGCGTGATGGATCATATTTGATATTCACATCTTAAGATTACATATGGATAATTGCTTTAGTCCATCAAATGTACATATTGAAATATTTCTAACAATATAAAAGCTACTCTTATGTTTACTTTACAAAAAAAAAATCATTAAATATTTCACAACCAAAAGAAACTTGTACCACATCCTGAAGGGGGTGTTTTTAACGATTATACTATAAAATACCTTTTACTTGCTAAATAAGTATCAACTATCAATCAGATGACAGAAGACATGTAGAAGATTGAGTATAACAGGATTTTTTTAGCAATGTTTTCATCTTGTTAATAATTTAGAGGCCTTTGAATTCATGTATCAAATGGACTACTGATACATTATTCTTTATGTGGATAAAAATGGTTCATACAGATGAGCTACAATCAGACTAGCGGGATCATTCAGCAGGCATAAAGAATCACCACACCATCCTATTAATATGAACTCAATCACATGATCCATTGAGGAGGTTTCACTCACCTTCTTGGACCTCCAGCAGCGGCAGTAGACGGCCTTGTCGCCGATGTCCTCCATGTCGAAGCTGTGCACTACTTTGGGGCTGTCTTTGTTGATTGACATGTTGACCCTGCTCTTGGGGCTGCTCTGCGAACTGAAGTAGCGTGTCAACAGGTAGGTGCTCAGAGCCGCGGCCACTGCAACGGGAACGATGGTGGTCAGATGATCTGCAAATGTACACATGAGGAGGCGCTCGTTTTTGAGAGGGCCGGGAGGTTCCTGCACACTATTCTACAAGCATTTCTATTTTCTAGAAAAGATTTATTTCAAACTTTGGGTCTGACAAAAGGAGGCAAAAATGTCCTCTTTTACATACATTTCTATTTTATTGTAGTTTTTTTTTTTTTTTTTTTTTTTTTTTTGCTGGGAAAACGCAGAAAAATTATTATCAATCAATTATATTAATTAAATAACCTATACATATATCTTAGTGTCTTAATTGTTTAGATTTTTATAATGCATTAGCTTCTTGTCGATCCATCAGTTCACATTTAAAAACATGGGTCTATTTTCACATTGGTCTGAACAAAAACAGCAGACGGGTTGATTGAAAATGCACATTCATTCTCTTTATGGCCTTAAATGACTTTTTAAGGACCCACGGAAACCCTAAGAACATAATTCAGTGCAATCATTTCTGTCATGCAATCTTTGAAACTTGAGGTAAGTGCAACGTCACCGGTGTATCTTTGTGAGCAGTGGTGTAATAGCCATTTAAATTAAAATATTTCATTACAGATTCCGTTTCCAAACAATCCAAACATATGGGTGTCCCATTGAACTTGGTAAAAAGATCATCTGTTTACCATCTTGACTGTAAAATACGATTTTCATTGTCAATTTTTGATAATGTTAAGCCCTGTCCCAAAACACAACCTAATGTCAGTGGCATTTAATTGATCCAGTCATTTTAAGTGCTTTGGTCCTCCACACCAAACTGGGGAAAAAGCTCCTATAAAAGGTTTATGTACAACTTGCTGCTCAAAAATCCCTTGCAACTTTACTTGCTATAGTACAGTAATTGTGACAGTGGCTGTCATGAGGCACATATTAAGCAATCATTGCGCATTTAATAAAATTTTCCTCTATTGAAAAAAACAACAACAATTGGACAAGCAGAAGAGAGCAGAGACGTCTTCTGTTTTCAAAAGAGCTTTCAAAAGACTTGAGAATTAAAACTCCAAGAGGACAAAGTTCATCACATGCAGTGTTTGCAACAAGATCTGCATCACCAGTTCAACAAACACACTACGAAAAACCAAACCCTCGCCGTCTTCCTCTGAATCCACACTTTCTGTTGCCTTGTCCAAATACCCACACTTGCGGTCTTGGCCACTTGACAGGACATAAGTGTGCAAGACTGTCCCAGGTCTTAAAAATGCCAAAGCGCAGTGCTCTTAATGCACACTAAATCCACACCATCTCGAATACCGCTCCGGAGAGGTACTCGAGGCTTAGTGTATCTAATCGTGCATCATGTTCTGGAAATAAATCGTGAGACTTTTTGCCGAGATCTCGCGAGAGGTCACGGAAACCTTTACAATATAAGTTAAATATTAATAATAATTATATAATATGGCAGTAAAACAAAGAGTTGCACGTTTTATTGGTGCAAAAGAGTAGTGGTGATATTTAGTTTGTACAACATTTGCAACTGCTTTATATCACTTAATTAGAAGAAGCACCACAAAATTAAATTGTTGTAAATCTGTTATAGGGACATTTCGAAGTTGATTTTAAAATGCAAAGTATTGAAAATTTGCATTTTTACAACACTATAGGCTTAAGTGTGGCCTATCAGGTAATGAATAGTTCTACACGCACTTGTGGTCTTCATGCTCACTTGAACACTTGGACCAAATACAGGAAATACATCATATAAGTAGCCTAATGGTCAAGTGCAAAGACCGCAAATGCGGGGTTAAGGCTAAAAGGGATACAGCTGCGCTAGTGGGCATGAATTCATCAATATAGCATAATTTGTGTCACGCTGAACAACAATAATTACTGTATTTGCATTATTGTAAGGGTTAGGTTTAGGGTTGGTGTAGACGTTAATAAAATATAATCTAATATGTAGAAATTGTAATTTATGGTTAACTTCCGGTCGACATATGTCAACACAGATACACCCCTTGTCCAAATACCCACACTTGCGGTCTTGGCCACTTGAGAGCGCGTGCACGTGACAGGAAGTAAGTGGGCAAGACTGTCCCATGTCTTCAAAATGCCAGAGCGCAGTGCCCTTAACACACACTATCTCTAATACCGCTCCAGAGCGCTATTCAAGGCTAAGTGTATCCCATCATGCATCATGTTCTGGAATTAAATCGTGAGACTTTTTGCCGAGATCTCGTGAGAGGTCACGGAAACCTTTCCAATATAAGTTAAATATTAATATGATAATTAGATATTACAAATAATTTGGTAGAAAAACTGTTTTTACTTTTATTGGTGCAAAGATGAGTTGTGGTGATATTTATTTTGTACAACATTTGCAACTCCTTTTTATCACTTAATTAGAAGGAACCACAAATTAAAATTATGTCATGTTATAGGGACTACTGGACAGACATTTAGAAGTTGATTTTAAAATGCAAAGTACGTCAAATTAAAATTAAAATAAAGCTGTGTTAACACTTGTATTTTTACAACACTACAAGAGTGTCCCATCAGGTAATGAAAAGTTCGACACACACTTGAGGTCTTCACATCCACTTGAAGTCTTCGGCCAAATACAGGAAATACATCATTTAAGTAATCAAGTGGTCAAGTGCAAAGACTGCAAGTGTGGGTATTTGGACAAAGCCACAGGCTTGGTAAATCCAAGGAGTCCTTCATCTCAGACTGTAAATCCTGGTCAGGTGAGAAGGATTCACTCTTAACTAATGATAGCCCTGCTGATTTTCGTGAATCGGTTCTTGAGAACGGCTCGTTTCGCAATTCTTTGACATCACCTGACCACTGACATCTCGACATGACAAATTATAAAGCTAGTATAAACTGTCCTGTTGTTAAGTTGTAAGCGTATTTTTAGATTTTAGTACTTTTTTAGTTGTGAATGTGGATGAATCGTACAGGCCGATTCGGTTCAAATGATTCGTTTGAAAGATCCGACTCAAAATAACGATTCATTTCGTTCATCGCTGTACGTTTCCCGAGTTATGAAAACAATCGAGTTTGTCAAGCTCATGAAATATCGCATAACAAATGATGCAGAGCGGCATGGCAACAAGATGCAGATTTATTACCTACTAAAACACTGCATTCATTTAAATATCAAAAATGCATTGAATATTAATCAATCAATCAATATATAAATAAATAAAATACCTGCAAACCTATGAACTAATAACGTGTGCGTGAAATAATCGCCATAAAACTTATCTGTAGCCTGCTGTGTGCATGTTAAATAGCATAGCCCAACATAAATAATGTAAAATCTAAAATGAATAAGAGTACTCAGAAAAACAACAAAGAATCAAACATGCTGACAAATATGCGTTGATCCTTTATGGAATTGCTAGACTGCAATCGGCTTTATATTAAAATAAAACACCACTCTTACCTTTAGAAACCTTAAAACCCGGTATTAACCCCGGTTTAGTCAGAGCTGAAAGCCCTGGCACTTGAGATGCCATGACCGTAGGGTTGTTTGGACTTCGAGTTTAAGGACACAAGGTCTGAGACGCTGGACCCGAGTGGCGCCGTCACTGCGGAAACTCTGCGTGATTGCGTCACTAGATATCCGACCAATGGCTGGAGAGCGTGATTCACGCGCACTGCTAGCTCAGATTTCTGTAAACATGGGGCCCAGATCCCTCCTTAGTGTGCAGCTGGCAGTTTGGTAGTGAGGGTTTGTTATACACTTTTCATCCCTGATATTTAAATGTTTCGTAATATTAAATGTTACATAAATGTCAAACCTTTAAAAGCCTGTACAGATCAAAGCTGGTTCACTTTAACCTGACTGCAAAGATTTTAGTAAAAAAAACAAAAACTATTTGTCTCCTAACTATGGACAACCAAAGTATTAAATAACTTGGTAAATAATACAAATACATTAATATTTTGTAATAGCCCATATAACACAAATCACTTCATGATACCCACTTGCACAAAACTATACTGCAATTATAGATTCACCATAATATTTCCAGATGTCACATCTGATAATAGCTTTGTTTTCTGAAAATATATGATTTATCCATTAGGTTCCATTTGGAAACCTTTATGAAATATTAAAGCAAACTGCACATGGTGTCATTTTAAGTGCTTTGGTCCTCCACACCAAACTGGGGGAAAAGCTCCTATAAAAGGTTTATGTACAACTTGCTGCTCAAAAATCCCTTGCAACCTAGCTTGCTATAGTACAGTAATTGTGACAGTGGCTGTCATGAGGCACATATTAAGCAATCATTGCACATTTAATACATTTTTCTCCTATTGAGAAAAAAAATAAAAATACACCAATTGGACAAGCAGAAGAGATCAAAGAAATGTTCAATTTTCAAAAGCGCTTTCAAAAGACTTGAGGATTAAAACAGTGTTTGCAACAAGACCTGCATCACCGGTTTAACAAACACACTAGGAAAAAGCATGCAGACAAAGCATTTCAGACTTTAGTAATCATTTTATTACACAGTTTTAATCAACACACAAAGCTCAACGAGCCTGTCAGGAAATTAAATATACAGAAGTTTGTCTGTGAGGAGTTTGTGTCCTCTCACCCAGGGACCCAATCGAGTCTGGCGGAACCATGTTAGCATCTAATTCAACAAGAGCAGGAAAAAGAAGAGGAGGAAAAAAAAGCAACCTAAGAGTTACAAGGGTGGGTTGGGGAAAGAGAGAGAGAGAGAGAGAGAAAAAAATTAAACAAAAACAATAAGACATGTTATAGAGACTGCTTTAAATAACTGGTCCGAAACCCTCCATATGGTGAATGTTTGTGAAGTTGGTCATGGCTAAGGAAAGGGGTAGAGACAGTCTTCGCAATGACAAATGGAAACAAAATATATATATTCATAGTTTTCAAGTCCATTAGAATACTCCGGAGAAGAGGACAGGAGGTCCATTTTCCTTTAACTGCTATGATTTTAAAAGAATTCCTTATAGATTTTATACAAAAAGATAGCCAGCATACCCCTCCCTTCTCTGCAATAAAGAAAAAAAAACTTCCTGATCCAATGTACAGTTGGAAGCCCAGGAAATGGAAATGAAAAAGTAAACTGTAAAAAACATCCCTCTATGTCCAGACTATCACAAATTGCAGGGAGAAAACAAAATAATATAGCCCTCCCTTCCCAGTTCTTAAAAACAGCAAGGAATGCTTTTAGAGCCATAAACATCTTCTACAGCAAAACTGATACGGACTGATTCTAAGCAGCGGGTACGTCGCTATAGCAACGGAGAAGGTAAAGCAGGAGCTGTGGAGTGGATGTTTGAATTTGGGGAGGAAAAGGGCTACAGTTGTAGTTTGAGTATGTACACCATGGCTGCCAGAAGGCTAAAAGTGGGGGGAGGTGCTCTGGTGAGGGGAGGCGTGGCTTAAAGAAAACACTCCAATGGAAACCAACAAGACCGTTTTTTTCTTAAGCTTTTTTCTTTTCTTTTTTTTAATCTTTTGAACGTTCAAAATCTCCCCTAACCTTAAGATGGAGAGGTGTAATTTTCTCTCATCATGATTCTAACTCCAAAACTACATTGCATACTTTTGTGTCCATTCCCGAGCTATTCTGTTGTACCTGTGAAGGAAGAGAAATAAAAACATCACATCAGTAAAGAACCATTGTGGTTCCCCAATGCACCTTTCAGTGAAAAGTTCTTAAGAGAACCATTTTTTTTCTTGTGTGAAGATGTTAAATATCTAAAGAAGCTTTTTCCACTATATAGAAAACCTTTTATGCAACAGAAAGGTTCCATTGATGCTAAAGTTTCTTCATGGAACCAGATGCCAATAAAGAACTCTTATTTAAGTTTAATAGGTAATGCAAACTTTGCAAAGAACCTGTTGTTGAAAGATGGGGCATTTAAAAACTATATTGGAATTAAATATCAGTGTGGGAAAGTAAATGGCCGAAAGAATGCAGTTTCTGAGCATGTATGTGAAGTACAAATGAACGTCTCAAATGGTTAAAGAAAAAAAGTGAATCGTCCCCTCTGACACGGTCAATAGCCCTCTACTTGTATTAAAGGGGTCATATGATGCAATTTAATATTTTCCTTTCTCTTTGGAGTGTTACAAGCTCTTGGTGCATGAAGAAGATCTGTAAATTTGCAAAGACTAAAGTCTCAAATCCATAGAGATATTCTTTATAAAAGTTAAGAGTCAGCCACGCCTACCTAAAACGGCTCATTCGAACACGCCCCCACATATCTACCTCACTATGTGGGAAGATTAGCATAACGCCGCCCAAATGTTCACGCAAAGAAAGGCGGCGTAACTTTTATTCTCGCTGTAGTATTGTTGTTGCCGCCGCCATGTCGTGAAGACGCTGTGTGTTTCGTTGTGAAAACGAAACTACTTTGTTTGGTCTTCCAAAAGAGGACGATATTGCTTCGTCATGCCTGGAGCTGATCCGTGCTGGTCGCTGAGGAAATCCATCAACTTAGTGCTGTGGATCGCCGGCACATTTTATGGAGGACTGTTTACTGGTCCTGGGAGAGTAACGTTAGACTAAAATGCCGGCAGTTCTGACTCACGCAAGTACGTTTTCATTTAAAGGATTTGCCACTGATGATTCAAACGTGAGTTTTGGGCAGTAGAGTAGCACTTGTTGGTTGTCATTTCTCTGATCACAAATGCAGACATGGTTTTATGTTTACGCGGCGCAATGCAACGCAACATGTAAAACGACAGTATAAGTCATTATAATCAGTAATTATGTCCCCACTGAAATGCCTTGTTTATAATAGGTTTTCATGTTTTTGAATCATCGCTCCGGCCGGACACGGCATCAACACTGTATGTAAGGGGCGTAACATTTCCGTCTCACGCTTGAGGTATTCGGCCAATCACAACGCACTGGATAGCTGGCCAATCACAACACACCTTGCTTTTTCAGACCGATGAGCTTTGTAAAAATCAACACGTTTCAGAAGGCGGGGCATAGAGGAGAAACAATAATGTACAGTATGTGGAAAATAATGCGTTTTTAAACTTTAAATCGCATAAACACATTTTATTACACCAAATACACAAAGTAATGTTCTTTTTAGCAGCATCATATGACCCCTTTAAGTGAAACTTAGAAAAAGTTGGGCATCGCCAGCAATTTACAATCTATAGGCCCTTTCGCACCGCTTTAGTTCCAGAACTAAACGTACGGTACTAAAGTACTGGGACGATTTTGCGCGAACTATTTCCCAGTACCATTTAAAGGGTTGTATTCGCACCAAGAGTATGTACTAAGAAGTGACGTAAGTTCACAATAATGGACGTGGAAAGTCGACGTATACGTAAAGCGATTGAAAGAACGGGAAGGAGGACTAAGAATCTCCAAAAACAACTGGCAGTGCTACATTTGCTACAAGTGCCTGCACTTCAGCGTCCGTCCATCTATCGCTGTTCTCCATACTTGCAAAATAATACAGTATGTTTACACAGCGTTTTAAATCATGGCGGGGGAGGGGGTTTTCATACGCGTTTGGCCAATCAATGTCTACTTGCGTCACGATTAGTACCAGTTGTGCTGGTTAGACCCTGCTCCGGAGTAGGAGCTAATTTGGTTCTCGAAAAAGGCAGTCCGGTACTAAAATCGCTCCCAGTTCCGGCGGTGCGAACACGCCGAAAAGTGGGTAGTTCCACAATTAGTTCTGGTACTATGAAAAGGTTCCTGCGGTGCGAAAGGCCCTTATTATAAAGGAACTCTTCAGTATTCCCTTGAGTTCTTACAAGGTCCGGCCCTCAGCCTCAATTGCATTTTCCAGCAACATTTGCTAAGAGTAGTTTAAAACAATAAGGATCTAATAGAAGTCTGCTGGCATTTAATTACCTTTTCTGTTGAATTTGATCAATCATTCTCCAGTTCAATTTACTACACCCAGCTCAGTCTGGTTTAGATAAAATAAAACACTGTTGCACATTGAGCTATTGAAACCTAGTTTTTGGAATTGCAGCAAGCTGAAAACATTTTCACCTTGTCTCTACTTCAGTCAGCTTCAAATCTCAGCAACAATAAAAGTAAATAATTCACAAAACAGGTCTTCAGAGTGTCAGCGTATAAACACAACATCCCCGGGGAAGAAGAAAGGTAACAAATGTCAAAACAGGAAACTGCGTAGACAATAACTTAGCTAATAAATGACTGCATGACAGCACCTAGGGGGAAAAGCATTAGGGCAAACACAGTGTGCAGTAGTGGTCGACCGATATTGGGTTTTTTTGACAGCCGATACCGATATCTTGGAAAGCAGTGTGGCCGATATAATTGTATTTATTTTAATTACTATTTAAGAGATTTTTAATATTTTTCACAAGTAAATAAATATTTAATACAAATTTAATTAAAAAGGAAGTAAACACTGTACCCAACAGGGCACTCAGTATTCTGGGAAGTTTGTGCGCATTAACCATATTTTTTCAAATAAAGCCAAGGTAACACTAATTTTATATACAGCACCACAGTGAAAATGGCATGAATATGACAGTAGGCAAATGCATAAAGCGCAGCATAATTTAAAATCAAAAGTTTAAAGTTGGTCTATCGCGCATCTCCAGTGAAG